AAGTCTGACAAAGGGGCATAGTCGTGTTTATATAGGAGAGTTCCTCATCTAGCATACGGCGTAGGCAGCTGGCTGGCAGCTGAGAGATCCTAGGCGCGAGCGACTCGAACGCGTATACTTACGCGTCTTGGCCGGCACCAGCGTAGGCATTTGACCCATGGTCAGCTTTTCTCTCGTCACCCAAACTGGACAAAGACCAGCAGCCGAGAGCGCTCGGGGGCTTGGCCGCAAGACTGTCACTGATATGACAACGATCCTGTGATGGGCGACCTGTTCCCACAAGCGACGGCAATGCGCGGCGCGCGTGGTGAGGGGGTTACGAGTCCCTGCGGCAGGAGCAGACAGCGCAATGAGCAGCCATCAATGGAGAGAGCGACTACTCTGATCTCGAGCAGCAGAGGCCAGCGGTCACAGTGGTCACCAGTCTGGTTTGCACCGGATACTGCGCGAGGAAAAAAAAATCGTCACGGGCCGCCCCGAACGCCACAAAGTCGCTGACAAAAAGGTGTTGCAATGCCGTACTGTCAAAACCGCAGAACGAGCACTCTTGGGACCCGGATGTTTTCATTTCGGAAAACATTATTATACGTTATTGTGTCACACCCAAAGAAACAAAACAAAAAAGGTTGATTACGCGACGGTAATACTTCCCAACAGCAAGTACTTCGGAGGTTGTACACATAGTAGACATTAATGGAGAGAAGACATACATTAGTAGGTACTACATCAGATACATCTTGGTAAACTATGTTACACTCCTCCGCAGTTGTATACTCATGAGGATTCGGCCAGTGTGCCCCAGTGGTAAGCGCAGAAGTAAACCTGCAACACATAGGAGCTAAATAGCGGCACCGGAGTTGAAGTTGAGGCAGTGACACAGGCGATGGGTGCCGTGGTGGGTCAGGATGAGTATGCCCGGCCTTTGGTCAGCTAGTGCAGGCTTGGCTAAGTCCCAGCTAAGTCGTCCAGAGCACATATTTAGCGCATGGCGATCGCAACACCGCAGCATATGGCCTAAGATGCTTACGTCTCAAGGTGCTTACCGCGTGGTATGCAAGCTCCCTACCAGCACACAAGATGGGGCATGGCTCTAGCTGCGCTGTTGCCTTGGGTCCTTGCTCCACCGATAGCGATGTAGCCTTGCTGAACGTGAGAGGTACGTTGGCAGGGGTATGCCCGAGAGTCCAGAGACGTCGTGAGCGTCGGCCATTGTAATTTCGTCAGAGCATCGTGGAAGACGTGGGGGGTGAGTTTGAGGCTTTGAGTAGCATGCAGAAAGGATCATGTTACGTTGAAACACTGAAACGATGTTCGCGCGCTTGCTTTCGTCCCGCCGCGCCATCACTTTAACTTTAGGGCAGGCGTCCATGTATCTTGGCGCAAACGCCTGCCGGACTCGGGTCTGCCTTAGAGCACTGTTCTTATGTGTTTATGTTCAATTTGAGTCTGGTAGCAGTGTAGGCATGTGCGCTGTATACAAATGCATGCGTTGAAACGTAAAAAAGCTGACGGCGGACGCACAGTTGTCAACGCACTGTACTGGCCCTCACCCTTAGAACATCCACGCGTGTGCTGCGCGGGACAGGGTGGTAGATGCCCTTCCTCTGTAGCCGGGACGCGGTTTCCTGGTGGCCCTCTTTAATCCTCTAACATCGCGCGTGGCCGCCCGGCCATTCCGATTCAAGACTTTTTACACATCAACATCACTATACACTTGCCTCCACATCCGAAGGCACAGGCTGTGAAACAGGTCCTGGAACCGTTGGCGACGCCAAACCCGTGGCCGCCGATTGTTCAGACAACGCTCGTGCACCCAAACAAGCATCTCTGCAAGGCCCAGCGCGCGCTTCTCCACTTGTTTCGGAGACGCCGTTGCCGGTTCCTTTGCACCATGTGGTGCAGATCTCCTGAACGGCACCTTGTTTGCCCGGGCCGCGAACCTGACTGTGGACAGGCTTGATTGGATGCGCGAGGGCGAAGAGCAGTGCAGGTGGGACCTCAAGGGGTCATTGGAAGCTTTAGCATAGTAATGCGTAGTACTGGCATGCGATATATGTACTATAGTAGAGTTCGTCCGGCATGGTGTGGAAAGGAAAGGAAAAAACCTTCGAACGCCACGAAGCCGTCGTAAAGCGCTTGTGACTCCCGGAGCGTTCAACCAGCAACGCACAGGGCCGGATGCTGCTCACAGTCATATATGCAAGTACCACATTTAATACTCTCCTCGCTACGATTCTTGTCTTGCGTATGCTCAAAAGGCTATTTCCGGCTCCGTGTTCACCGGAACGCAAAATGCCGCCGGAAATACGTACTAGCGCCCACAATGTCTCACCAGAGCCAGTTGCTGTGGCGCTAAACTCGACCACCGCTGTTTTTTTCCTGCTGCAATACAAAGTGGTATGTCGCTGACTTTACATAATTGCTTACATGACTCTGTCTGCATGTGTTGTATTGAGCAAAGCGTGTGACTAGTGCTAGCGCGTGAGAGTAGGATATCGGCTATTGCTTCACGTGATGCTTGACATTGCACGTTACAACAATTGGTGAGCTTCGCACAGCATCATGCCTGCGCGCCGCGCGTTCACTTTACCGGCTGAATAGGACAAACTAGGCTTCCTCACGGGCATTTTCCCCGAAACCGCATGTGAAGACACGTCCACAGGCGACCAGCAGGTGAGAGTGCTTGGTGCGAGGAAATACGTGTCTCATTCTCAGACGACGCTAGACTCTCCAATCTCCACGTTAAACACACTTCCATTGTAGCTGACCCTGATGCATCAGGCTGTGCCGCAGGGACACGTAACAGCGCGTTCGCATACGGAGCACGCCGACGTCATGCTGCTGATGTAGCGGCTCTGGTAGTACATGGAGACCTGGTGTTGTGACTTCGCCGCCTTGCAACCACAATTACAAATGGTGTTACAGATAGTGCAGGTGACCGTGTCAAGATACCTTTCTGCGTAGATATAAAAGTATGGTCAATCCTGACACTCCTTGAGCAGAACGCTCCTACAATCGCATAGTTGACATGGACGCAAGCTCTGAGCAACTCAACGTCCGCTTCCCCAAGCCGGCTCTCGTGCCGTCCTCTATTGTATCCACCCCCACCATTCACGCTGGCCGGACTCCCGAGTCTACTCAGGCCGTCCTCGACTGTCTCAAGGACAACCACCAGCGATTCCACATATTGGGCTTTCACAAGTGATGTGTCCGTCTACCCTCTGTTTTCGTCTTCACTAATAGCGGTCTTGAAATGCAGTCATGCATCACATCACCTTCTGGCAATCTACGCGATGGGCGCGAGTGCTGAAGTGATACGAGGAGCATATGACACCCATATCGCATACCAGCGGCCTGCTAAGGATCGAGTCTGCGCGGCGACAGTCGACGAGAAGAATTGGAAGGACCACCTTGGAGACGAAATGTTTGTCTTCGGTGTCATTACTACCCTGCGCTGGCTGATATCCCCGTTAATGTAGGTATTATCAAGCTTACGTCTCATTCTTCTCTCAGCTCCTCCTGTCGCAGCAGACCAAAGGGCTCCAAACCATTCTGGAAGACTACGTCTTCTCGACAGACGCGAACCTCGTTGCGGGCAAGAATGGAGTTAAGCCGTACATGCTTGGCCGCTTCTACTCAGGCTTTTTCCACCCGTTGATTCACATTGCCTACGGGGCTGAGTTTGGTCTGCCTGGCCTGGCTGCTGAAGGTGTGCAGTACAATTTTTATTTATTTCTGAAGTCTTGCATGCTGAGAGGATTGTATCGCAGGCCTGGCGCAGGCTGCAGTGCACTCACTCGATACAGAAGCGATATTTACCCCAGAATTCTTTAATGTGGACTCTGTCGACACCCTTGCCTCTCGTCTCAGCTCGCTCGCCGTCTCCACAGCGGGCGCTATGGGTTTGAACACCCCATCGGCGGACGTACATGCCCTTACTATCCTGTCGCGCATAGAGAAGGACACGGACTTTGCGCCAGAGAACCTTAAGCTCCCTGATCTTCGCAATCTAGGCTCTGTATACAGCGTTGTTGTCAGTCAAGCCGACGGCAAGCTCTTGAAGTACGCTGAGGAATGGTCCAAGACTGTCATACCGGACCGAGATGTTCTGAAGAGGAAGTTCGAGGAGCTTGTGTGGATGAATACTGTGATTTACGGCGTCGGAGGCTGGGGAGGTAGAGCGCTGGGAGGGGACGAGAAGGGCAAATTTAACGGCGACTTCATCCTGTAAGTCGCGTTCGGTGTCGTTCCAGACTTTGATACAGCTGCTGACCGCATACCCTCACAGCATGCACGGCGTTACCTCTGTGATGATGACCGCGTCTCTTCTCAATACCCTTAGTCTCAACTCTACTGTCCTTCTCCTCCGTGCGTACTTTGTCTTCTCTCTCCTTGCGTACACGGTACGCGGTCGCCCCGCGCTCCCTATCAAAGACTTCTACGCCAACACGTCGCTCTACCCGTCGCCGCCTGGCGCCCAGCCTGCTGCGGCCAAGGACACCATTGAGCCCTCCACGGCGCCGAATCCGTGGCTGCCAATCGTCCAGACGACGCTCGTGCACCCGGATGAGCACCTTTGCAAGGCGCAGCGTTCTCTTATGCACTTTGCCGTGTGCTACGGTGGCACGGAGCTCGGAGCGTTTGCGCACTCGGGCCTGCAGGGTGCGGAGGTGCTCGACGGAACGCTCTTCGCCAGGGTGGCGGCCCTCACCGCGGACAGGCTCGGCTGGATGCGCGAGGGAGAGGGAAAGCGGGGATGGGACTTTAATGGGTTCTCTCAAGTGTCGAAGATTTAAGGCGGTTAACCAGCGATTTGCTTGAATCAAGGTTGTAGAATATAAATGATACAGTGATTATATGCTAAGTGCGGCTGCTTTAACGAGATCACTGGAGGTGGAAATCTAGGCCTCGACAGTGTCCTGGCCCGGCGCTGAAACGATCGTCAGGTACAACTCCAGGAACTCCGGTTATCACCGGCCAATGTAGTGACGCCTCGATAGCAGGCTCGTCCCACGCCGGTTTCTTGTACGTCGCATCCCTTGCCCAAATGGGATGCAATAAGACGCACGTGGTCCCCCACGGAGCGCAGCAACCGGACCTGGCTGGCGAGTCTAAGACGGCCCAGACGGTTTTACAAGAAACCGGCATGGGGCGAGCCTAGAATCAGGATGTTACTAGTAGTAGGAGCATCTCTCGGTGCCACGTGACTAAAGAGCTGGTGAGAGATTGGTTAAATATTGGCTCTTAACAAGTTGTCTATGTTTGGCACTGATGTACTAGCGCACGTTCAGGCCCTAGGGGGCCAACCTAGGATAATGGGAATCAGATAAAATAGAATGCTAGAGGTGGTGGGAGAGATCCGGGAGCACGCGAGAGCTCGGAAAGTAGTCGCGAGTTGGCTTCGGGGACCGGCGAGGGCGCCGTACGCTGCGTGTGGCGTTGAGAGAGGAGCGCGGGGACTCAGAAGTTAGTAGAACATTATGTGAACACAGGGGAATCTCGTCGCGCTATATACATCTGAGTGGAAGCTACAAGAGGAGCAGGAAAAACGGAATCATATATAAGTGCGTCATGTTCAAGCGCAAAGGGGGTCGAACAGGCGGGAGTCATGGGGCTCGGGCTACCGGAGGCGTTGTGGCGTTGTGGCGGTTGTTGAGGCGGAGTCGGGTGCCTGGTGCGAAGGATCGTGCAAAAGGGCGTTTATTGCACGCCGCGTAGGGCGCGTCAGGCACACAGCTTGAAACATGACATAGCAACGCATAACGCTGACATGCGATATATGCACTACAGTAAAGCATCCTCGCCTGGCATGGTGTGGAAAGGAAAGGAAGTAACCTTTGAACGCCACAAAGCTGTCGCAGAGCGCTTGTGACTCTCGGAGCGTTCAACCCGACACACACGGCAGAATATTAATACTGCTCGCATGTGTCGTATGAGAGCAATACGGCCAATACCGCAGTACTTGTCACGAATCTTGTATTGCTCATGTCCGAAGGCTATGTCCGGCTCCGCGTTCACTTGAACGCAAAATGGCATGTACTAGCGCCCAAGAAGTCGCCAGAGTCGCTGTGGCGCTAACCCAATTGGCTTTTTCCAGCTGCAGGACAAAAAAGCGTGCGACTACCGCACGAGAGTAGGGCATCGTTTGTTGTCTCATGCGATACAGTGCTTGACATTGCGCATGCACGTTACGTCACGGTCGGATAGTGAGCTTCGCAGCACATCTGTGTGCCGCGTGTCACGGTTCACTTTACTAACGACATACGTCGCACCAGGCTTCATTGCGGAGACATTCGCCGAACGCGCATGCGAAGGCATATCCTCAAGCGATTAGCAGGCAGGAGTGCTTGGTGAGAGGAAACCCCAACGCTACGTGCCCCATCCTCCCAGACGACGTAAGACTCGCTAATCTCTCCATTAAATACACTTCCGTTGCGGCTGGTACTGATGTATTAGGCTGTACCGGAAGGACACATAATGGTGCGTCCATATTTGGAGCACCCTGGCGTCACGCTGCTAATGTAGCAGTACACATCCAGGTGTTGTGACTTCGCATATTGTGTCCACAATTACAAATGGTGCTACAGATAGTGCAGGTGACCGTGTCAAGACATCCTTCCCGTGTGGATATAAAAGTACGGTCAGTCCCGGCACTCCTTTGGCAGGACACTCCTACAATCGCACAGCTAACATGGACGCAAGCTCTGAGCAACTCAAAGCCCGCTTCCCCAAGCCGGTGATTGTGCCATCCTCCATTGCACCCATCCCCACAATCGACCCTGGCAGGACCCCCGAGACTACTCAGCA